AACTTCTAAATTGATTCGTTTGTAGTCCTCTTTTCTTGCCTGAAGTAAAATTTACTGACTACGTTTAAAATCATTTAGATAAAAATAATATATTAGCTTAATGTTAAACTTTTGCTATTGAAATATTTGTTTTTTAGCTTATCCTTAAAAGCTTTCTTTGCTTTCATGACTCCGCTTTACACGCAGGTTTGGTTTTACACGTACGTTTGGTTTATAATTTAAAATTATCAAAAAATAAATAGCTATGCACAACATTATTTCCCTCGCAACATTATTACATAACGCAATGTATAATCGGTAAATAAATTGAAGAGCTGATACCTTTCTCATTGAACAACGAAACTTTGTAATGAAGTGGGAAATGCACAAAAGCCACTCGCGTCTAGTTGAAACTCCAATAGCTTGAAAGAATTTTCATTAAAACAGCAAACATCAGGCCTATTTCTGGCTTAAAGGCTTAGTCAACAAACAAAGTTGTCGCTATTGGGGTGAATCAAATCCTCGTGTGGTTCAGGGAACGCATGACCACGAATTGTGGTATGGCGGCATCATCGAGCCTTATTTCTTTTGAAATAAAATGCCGTTACCATTAATAGCGAGCGTTATAACAAGATGGTGATCACCTTTTTTTTCCAGAATATGATAAAATCGACTTGGACGATCTCTATTTCCAACATATCCAACAAGACGGTACGTCACCTCATATTTCTTGTCTAAACATGGAGACATTACGTGTAAAGTTTGGCAACTCGTTAATATCGAAAAATGGTGCATTCAATTGGCCGCCAAGATCATGCATTTGGACCAAATTTGAATATTTTATTTAATTTAACCATTCGTCGTTCTTGTTGGTAGACAATTTAGAATTGCATGAAAACATTATAAACCCAATAGGACTGAATAGTTTTTGCTTGTGGTTTATGCCATGATATATTAAATCAGTCAAAGGTATCATAATCCTACAAAAACCGTGTACAATTTCTAGTAAACATCTGGAAATGGGTAATGCCTTTTTCTTACTACAATTTTATTCCTTACTGAACGGAGTCGACGAAACCGAAATTACACGTGGTTAGCTTTTACAGTATTACTTGTAGAACCATAAGCCACTTTTGCCGATACAAACAGTAAAATATGACGTAGGTTGTTTTTGCTTGTGTTCATCTATGACGAGGGCTACTAGACCTTATATTAATAAAGATCAAGTGCAATGAATTTATAACTGATTTAAAAAACGTAATAAAACGTAAAATGAAATAAAATTAATGGTACAACTGATACAACTAATTATTTTGTTAATAAATTTTCATTTGGGATTTATGGCATTACTACCAGATTGATATTGTACATTTGTCTTTTGGAGCAGCTTAACATAAAGTGTAATTGGTTAAAAATATGTGTTATTGAAAAAAAAAATTTAATTTTTCTCGGTTATTTCCTCAAACAACTTTCGTTAAAAAATAATGTGTGGCATCAGTATTTGAAAAGGGTTTATTGGTGAAGCTATGACGTACCTCTGACGTACATATGCGTAATTTTGATGTGCTTTTTTCATTGGTAAAGAAATGTTCCTTTTCAAAAACAGTGAAGTCTACATATTCACTATCTGAGGTATTGAAAAGTTTATATCCGACTTGGACAATTTATAGTCATGAGATGACATACCTTAAAAGCATTATTTGTTTGTATTTTCCGATATCTTCGTGGTTGATTGATTTTTATATTTTAAAGAGAAAGAATCAGATATAATTTAAAATTGTTTTTAATACGAAGTAGGCGTGGTTGTATTCCGATTTCACCCATTTTCACAATGTAACAATATAATGTGGGAATAATGGTTTTCACCAAATTTAGTTGAAACTGATCGAGAGGTATTTTAATATGGAATTTCAACTAAAAATGGGCATTGCCACAACCATTCTCCAGTTTTTATACCGGCTCCTTTGAAACCCTTCCGTACCATATTAGTTGCGAAATTTAATGCGTCTGGCGTATTTACTTAATGAGTTATCACGTATGTAATAGTTTTCAACATAACCGTTATAAGGGACGATAGTTGATATAGCGCTAATGGTTTGTGAGATATATGCATTGAATCTGATATGGGTTGGTGTCATGCCTACTTTTTAAACATTTTTCAATTTTAATTAAGTTATTGCTTGCACGGACGGACGAACAGACAGTCACTCGTATCTAAACTCGTCTTGTCATCCCGGTCATTTCTATATATACCAGGTGCGGACCAAGGATTTTGGAAATGGAGGTATTGAAATATTACTTTTACTTGGAAAAAGGCAGTCCATCAGCAACCCCAGTACCATTTTTGATTTTAAGCGGAATCAAAAGTTCTCTTAGGAATAGGACAAGAGCATTTCAATGGTATTACTTCCTTGAACATTTACAAAAGTATTCATTAAATTGAAGACGAAATCTTTTAAAAACTAACCGGTAGTAGTACGCCCTATAAGTTCTAGTTATATATTATTATTGGACAATTAATTAAATGAACTGATTCAATTGTATCTGAAACGCCCGGAATGCAATTCCAGGTAAAAAATTAAAATTCCTAAAACTTGTTATTTAGTTTGTGTTAGTTATTTATAACTTTTTTTCAGTGGTTTTAGTTTCAAAAACTATATCACATTGAAACATTTATCGATTTACAGAATATCCTTGAAGAATTTTGTCAAATAAATGAAGAAAGAAATGACAGTTGTGAGTTATGTAAGTCGCATCCTAATAATAAATGCCTAGGAGTATTTATTCATTTTGGCTTTTCCAGGATGCGTCATTATACCAAAAATATCAATCCGGTATAAAATATGAGTTGTAAAGCATACGTACATAAGTATATGAAATGTTCTATTAAATAAATATAGACTTACGTACTCAAGTTTTTTTTCATCATTCCGATATTATATTTATTAAGACTTTACAACAGCTTCATCTACTTTAGAATATTCATAAGTGTGTATGTAGATTAGATAAAAGGTCTAACTGTGGTCTATTATGCGCATATGTATGTACGTACTCAAGTTTTTTGCAAATTATATATACTAAGACTTTACAACAGCTTCATCTACTTTAGAACATTCGTAAGTATGTATGTACATTAGATAAAAAGTGAGCCAATACTCAACCCATCGAAATCGAGGCAGCAATAATGCTACCGGCAGTTTTGTGAGCTGTGATTGTAAGTAATGCACCTGTTCCAATTACTGATATTTGCAGAGTTGAGCGTAGAAACTTAGTAATCCCAGTAATCACATTAGAACCACTCTGCGCTGTAACTTGCATTGCATGATTTTGATCATTCCGTTACATTGCAACCTGTGGTCAATTATTCGCATATGTACGTACTCAAGTTTTTTTCACCACTCCCAAATTACAACAACAACAGCTTCATTTACTTTAGAAATATTTTAGAACATTTCATAAGCACTCTTGTCAAAAACAAACACAATTTAGACCAGAAAATGGCATAGAAACGCTATTGGTCACCCGCGATGTCTGCGACTCTACCGTTGTTTATTTTTTACATATTATAAACATACTCATGGATAAATTGCTGTACGTATGAAAACGGGCACTTATCCATATGTTGTACATATACATTCAGTGTCCAATGAAATGTCCGTTAGTTTATTCCTCACAGTTATATGTATAGGGCTAACGGATTCCACATAATTGGTTGTGACAGCACATTAGGTCGGTCAATTATATAGGTTTTTTTGCTTTATGTATGTAATCTAAAGTGGAAAAATATATTCTAGTGTTGACCAAGTTTTATATTAAAACTTTTTGCAACATTCGTTACTCGACGAAATTGTGAATCGACTTCAATTAACTAGAAGGTCGGGAATAATTATATGGGCTATATGAATATTATAGATTTTATGGACCGATTTCATAAAACTTTAGGAAACAGTTTAATACTTATTATTTAATTTATTTCACATATCAACGGCTAACGACAATGGAATAGAAAAGGATATCAATCGTAATCGGATCAATATAGTCAATCGTAAAGCCCAAATTCAGCATATTAATATACATATACATTTCAATTACTTTTCGTTCTAAACTAAAGTATGATAGGTAGCAAACTACAGTAATAGTACGTCCAAACCAATATTTTCATTTAAAAATATATCGTGTGAACCAATATATACAGTATAAATATTATATTATGTACATACATACTTGTATATGAGGACTAAGCATCAATATTATCCTTTTTTATCACATTATTATAGAGAAAAGATTCTCAATAAATTCCATTAAGATATGAATGTATCTCATGTTCGTTATATGGTAGCTTGCAAAGTTGTGGTCAGATTTCGAACATTCTTATATATAATGTACCATACCTTAAGGAGAATATTTCAAATATTGGTGTGATTTTATATACAAGTAGTAAATTGGGAGAAACGGATGGACAGGTAGATATATATCTATCTCAATTGTTCATACAAACTGTTGCGTATATGTATACATTCAATCAAGTCAAGTCAATAGTTTGTTCTACATATTATTTCAAAATTCTATATTATGCTAATGTTATTCTTTGAATTATCTCGAGAAACTTTCATTTGCTCAATTGACAATTATGGTTCATTGTTAATATTGTACAGTTATGTAAAATTTGGGCAAACACTTTAAAGTCGTCTAAGAGCGATTCTGTAATTTTCTAAATCAAGTTCGTCACAACTGAGTTCATACAAATATTTGTACAGTTTTGTTGTTATATTTGAACAAAGTGAAGCACCCTAATGAATTTACTGCTCACCTCAAATTTGTAGCTCATTGCGATACCCAAACCATTGGTACGGATAAATTTTAAGCTAACGGATAACTGGTAAAAACACCACCAATCAAATAGTCGGAATGTGTATGTGTGTGTAGTAGGGAGCTTACCGTCGTTTCATTTGTCAAAACACATACACGGAGCAATTAAGTAGTTGTTTTAAGTTCAAGTTTTAAACCTCGTTGATGGTAAATGACGAATAAAAGTCCAGATACATTTAGAAGGTCATTATGTATACAATAAAAGAATCGAGTTCCTAAAGCGGGAATTTATAACGACTCTGGATAGTTTGTGAATTAAACTAATATAATTAAACACGCGCTGCAAAAACCACTCATTCAAAATTAATAATTAAATTAAATTATCAATTAATAATTAATAAACAAATAAATGATAAAAAACAATAAACCTTTGTCACAATACCATACACCAAGTCCAGCACCATTAAAGTTGCGGACTGAAATTTCTTGGGATATTAATGACGTGATTATTCCAATTGTTAACGAATTCGATGAATTTGATGAGTGGGTCGATGGTCATCGCCGTCTAGTTTATTCGGCATCTAATGAAGATGCGAAAAAACATTCATCAGGCTGGGCTATGCGTAACACAAACAATCATAATATCAACATATTAAAAAAGAGTTGTCTGGGAGTGCTTTATTGTTCGGCCAAATGCAAGCTGGCAAATGGTAGCAATATAAATTTACGTCCCGCAATTTGTGATAAAGCCCGCCGTAAACAGCAGGGTAGACAATGCCCTAATCGGTAAATATTTTTTCATTTTAATTTAACTTTTTATTGTATCTATAATAATATCAAACTTAATTCATTTTGAAATTTGTGATAACCGGTAAGTAATAGAAATCAAGCAAATATTATAATAAAATTATGCACAGGTAATAAAATTATTCTGAATTAAATTCTAAGTTTTAGAATTATATAGAATACAAAAACCATGTAGTGAAACAATATTTTTTTAAAGTTCTCATTTGAATTCATGGCTCTCAAGTTTAAATCTCAGAAGTGATGCTTTTTCTTATAAGCTTATATAAGAAAAATATATCGAAAATCTTCTGCTAATGTACTTATTGTTGCTGTAACTTACAAAACATACACATCTGTTAACCGATCGCTTAAGCTTTTTTATCTAATAAAACCAGCAAATTTTTATATAAAGAATTTCAATTGCTTATACCAAATAGTACTGTAACACAAGTCGGAGTTTGTGGCACAAATTTGTTAAAAAAAAATGATTAAAGCCCTTCCCCCCATAAAGTTTTATTTACATATCTCTCGTATCATCATTCACGTCTAATTCCCATGTAACAAAATTTTAGGTTTCATCTGATTATTTTGCATTACAGTATATGAATCTACCACCAATAAAGATATCGGAATAAAACTTCGCACAATTAGTTCCTTAAGGATATGCCATCTTAAGTCTAAGAATTGTCAAAATCGGACCAAAATGTTTCAATCTACCAGATACCGAATATGTAGACCTCAGTGCCTATGACTGACTTTGAAGCGAAAATATCAGTAGTATTGACATTCGGAGAGGATCTTTTTCTGATAATAATGTGCCTTTGTGCGAAAAAATTTACTTGCACCGAACTTAGCCCTTCTTTACTTGTTTAACATAGAGTTTTTTTTTCACCTGAAAGAACAATATTTTCCCGACATTTATAAATATTCGGTTACGCCCGAATTTACCGCTTCCTTACTTGTTTAATATCAAGTTTTTCCTATACATAAATATATTACTTCCCCTTTTACCTGTGTGTGTACTCGAACTTAGCCCTTCCTTACTCATTTAATTAATTTTTTCGTAATTCGGAGCTTGTTTCCACCTTTTCATTATATTACTTCACACTTTTACCACACATTCTGAAATAGCATTACATTCTTATTCTATTGAATGCCAAGGTAACAAGTTATGACACTTTTCGCCTGTTTTGTCCAAAGTACCACTAGAAAAAATCAAATTTCACTCATTAAATTTTATACAATACTGCTTCATTTAAAAAGAGAGAAAATCGTAAATAGTGAACCTATTAAAAATCCTTGACTCTCCCGGCTGTATTTTAAATAAATCGACCATTTCGCTATTTTAAACTGTAAAAATTAAAAGTGTTTGATTAGTACACCTCCGTCAGTACGGTTTCCGTAAAATGAGCTGGTGAAAACTCGAACAGTTGTGTTGATTAAAGTTGTTTGAGTACCATAAGTGAATAAAAATTCGTATCACGAATTTTGTGTGAAATGTTCGAATTTCGATTATGCTATTATGAACTTCGGCAACCTGTCACAGGTTGTCACGCACATATCTTTTTTGATCTAATCGGTATTAGCAGCATACAAGGTACAATTCAAAAGTTCCAGGACTTTTTAAACAACGCGGCTTCTAGTGGCGCCATCTGTTTGAAATTGTTATCCCTCAATTGTGTATTCTTCAGTGTTGTCGTATAAAATTTATATAACAGCTGACTTGTATAACAGCTGAGATATCGCGCTACATGTGACATTACATTTGTAGTGTCGGTCGGAAAATGAGCATCGAACAAAGAGCTAACATTAAGTTTTGTTTTAAAATTGGTAAAACTTTTACCAAAACTCATCAAATGATGAAACAAGTTTATGGCGATGATTGTCTATCCCGTAGCCGTAATCACGAGTGGTTTAAACGTTTTCAAAGTGGTCGTGAGGACATAAATGAGAAATGAGTCGAAACCCAAAAAATCGAGCCTGGAGAAGTCAAATTGAAAACAATGCTGATTTGTTTTTATGATTCCAAGGGTATTGTCCACTAAGAATTTGTTCCAACAGGCCAAAATGTTAATGCGGTATTCTACCTTGGAGTTTTGAAGCGTTTGGTGCGACGTATTCGACGTGTTCGGCCCGAATATCGCGAAGATGGAAGTAGGCGTTTGTTGCACGATAATGCGCCGTCTCATCGATCGACACTTGTGACCGATTATTTGACCAAAAATCACATTTTAACAAGCAACCACTCCCCGTATTCACCTGATATGGCACCGTGCGACTTCTACCCTTTCGGGAAACAACATTTGGCCATGAAAGGAAACCGCTATGCTGACGTTGATGCCATCCAAAAGGCGACGACCGCCATCCTCAACGCTATACCGACAAATGACCAAAAAAAGTCATTCGATAACCTTCTTGAACGTGCAAAACGTTGTATTCAGGCGGAAGGAGACTATTTTAAAGGCGACCAATAAATTTTTCAAAAAAAACAAATAATATTCGTTTTTTAATAAAAGTCCTGAAACTTTTGAATTGCAGCTTGTAAATAATGAAGACAATAATTTTCAGATGTTTTGGTATTGTATATTTGAAGGAATAATGGATTTGAAAAAAACTTCTTAAATTGATCTGCATTGGATAGCAACTTGAAAATCTATGATTACCTTTTTCATTCTGAAAACGATTGCGATCGTGGCCACTTGTTGTTGGAAGAGTCATGTAACTTCATTCAAAACAAATTCACTTTCTCCTTGTTATCTTTTTGAAAACCCTCTCCTATATCAGGATTTTAGGCTTTACTGTTGACTAAAATCGTCAACTGTTTTTTGTTAATAGGCCTTAGTTTATATAAAAAAGTTTTTAAAACCAAGTATGTACAAAGTGTGTTCAAAGGATAAGGTAAATTTTGAATTTTTTTTTAAAAGTACTTATTTATTCATCAATATCTATTTGTCCATTTCAAAGTAATCCCACTCGAATATAATACACTTGTGCCAACCCTTTTTCTAATCCTCGAAGAACTTCTGAAATGCCCTTTTCGGTATGGCCATTAGCTTTTCTTCGATTTTGTTTTGATCTCATCACTTGTGGCAAAACGCTTTCCTTTCATTGGTTTCATCAGTTTTAGGAATAGGAAAAAGTCGCAAGAAGCCAAATCTGGTGAATACGGTGGTTGACGCATATTTACGGTTTTGTTTTTGGCCAAAAATCACGAATAAACATTAATGTGTGAGCTGGTGCATTATCGGGATGCAGAATCCACGATTTCTTCACGCAAACGTTGCATAACTTCCTTGTAGTATGACTTATTAACAGTAGGACCTTTTGGCAGGAACTCATGATGCATTGTTTCGATGTTTTCTTCGCTTGTTGACGTGGTCGCACCTCAAGGATGCTATCGTCATCAACATCTTCTCGCTTCTCGGTCTTCTGTAAAGCGCTTGTACCACTTATAAACACCTTTTTGAGACAAAGTGGACTCACCGAATGTCACAATGAATATTTCAGGTGCTTTGAAGTACTTTATTCCATTTTTAACGCAAAATTTAATACATATTCTTTGATCCATTTCTTTCAAAAGTCAAAAATCGAAGAGCACCCAAAAACATGACTAACCTGTCAAAAACAAACTACTAATCGAAACTGACTCCTAATGCAAGCACATGATAATCATATGTGCCCAATTAAACACAAAAATAAAATATCGATAATCGAATGTCCACAGTCCGCGAAAAATCAAAATTCACCTTTTTCTTTGAACACACCTCGTATATAGTTAATAAAGTATACTTACACTTTATTGATAGTTGTTCTCTTCTATCAATTTTGTGAACAAATTTCGTCGATTCATATGAAAAAAATTATATCTACGATTACGAAAAATTTTAAAATATGGGAGATTTTTCCCACGTGAAGATCACGATAAGAAAAACACAAACTTGTAAATTTTTCCTTTGAAAATGGCATCAGCCTTATTGTAAACTTCGTCTGAATAAATCATTACCAGGCTTTTTTATGAATTTTCACGCGAACGAAAAACTCGTATTACGAATTTTGTTTTGTGTTTTTTGTGAATAAAACTGTTCGAGTTTTGATTATGCTATCCTGAACTTCGGCAATCTATCAAAATCAAAGATGTGTGTATACTTTTTTGCTCTAATCAGATCTGTTGAGTATAAGTGCATAAGTAATGCAGATAACAATTTTCGGCCCAATTTGCGTTCTCCAACACAGAAAAACGATGTAATGGTATATTTGAAGGAATAATGGACTTGAAAATCGAAAAATTTTCAAATATGGGAGGTTTTCATATGTGAAGTTCAGAATAAGAAAACACACAAATTTATGAAGTTTTCCATTGGGAATGGCGATCTCAATATGGAGGAGTAGATTTATTAAAGAGCAATAGTAATTCACTAGAGAGCTTGTTTTTTTTTATTTTAACTGTTTTTTATATGTTTCGATAGACTACATATACAAGTATATTTAAAAATACCATAGTAAAATTTTAAAGAATATTTCAAATATTATTTTAGCTACAGCCTTCGAAAGGGTAGCCGTCAATTCAATCAGTTTTGCTTTAAGTGCGTTTTTCCTAATAATATTCTAATATTTTTAAAGTCTGTAATTCTGTACATTAATTTTTTTAAAAATAATTTATCAGAATAACGTGTTTTATTTATTTGTTTTTAACCACAGTGAAAGCCGTAATCACTTCAACATAGGCGGGCTTTGCTTTTTTCTCGTATATTTATTATTTATGTATAAATATTTCCTTAAAATTTCAAAACATTTCATCCAATAGTTTTCTTTAAAAAACCTCGCAAAAATCCCCTTTTTGAGGCGGTCCAACTAGGTGTATTAGTAGAGCAACTGCTTCCCAATCTGCTCTGGAAGATTTTTGTGCAGTTATATGCTAATTTCACGATAATAGAAAACTTGTAATAACGTCAATTTATATTAAGGAAAACCAAAAAAATTAGTACATGGATTTTTTGGAG